GAGGTCGTCGAAGTCGCCCTCCCCCCCCTCCCGACGCCGCCCTCGAACCGCCAAGGGAGGCGTCCCGCGCGCCACGTGGGCGAACCACAGCAACCGCGACACCACCTCGGGAAAGAACGCGAGCAAAGCGAAGATCCCCCACAACGGGCGACCCGCGCCTCCGGTGGCGGGGGAGACGGGGGGCGACTCCACCACGCGTGGATCCCGCGCGATCCCGCAGGCCTGCATCAGCTCCACCGTCAGCAAAGGTCGAATCGTCGGGTAAAACAGCCTCGCACACCACTCGAATAACGAGAAAGGCGGAGGGGAAGAACCCCCCTGCGCTTGCCGATCCGGCTCCGCATCTTTTTCGCGATTTCCCTCGCCACTGGGTTCCCCCCCCCTTCAAGCAGGGTGGCGAGGGGAACGAAATGCGGCAGATTCGCCCGCACGACGTCTTCAACGGTGGAAAATCCAAAGCACTCCGCCGGCAGCGCCTCCACCGGATGGCGATCGCGATAAATCCACCAAAACAGAAGGGTTTCGATGTGGTGCGCGCAGAGCCTCGCGTAGGCGGCGTCGCCTGAGCGAACGTCGCCCATCGCCATCAACGACGTGCGAGAAAACGGCGGACATCCGGCGAGGCGCTCGAGGCATTCGAGCACCATCGGGCGAAACGCAAACCCCCGCGTGGCGTAGCATTCCAACAAGGTGTACACGACGCGAGCCTCCACTGCGGGCGCCGCCTCGCCGGCCTCGGCGAGGGCGAGCAGACTCGTCGCGCAGCCGAGTTGATTTTTCGACAAAATCCCCTCCCGGCAGCGAAACAGCAGCTCGTGAAGCACCGCCCCGGCGGCGGCGTGGAAGCGTCGGAAAAGCGCCCGGATCGCCAACGCGGCGTGTTTGCGCACGCCGTAGGGCGCGGCGAACCCCCCGTTGGCGGGGGGTGGGCGGAGGAAATGAAACGCGACCCGCCCCAGCCGCTCCGCGAGGGCCGCCTCGCAGCGAGGGAGGACCGCGAAGACGCCGCTCAGGACGCGGCATTGCAGCCGCGGATCGCCGTCGAGGATCGGCCACCCCTCCTCGCCCTCTCGCCGGGCGCCGGGCTCGAGGAGGTGCGCCACCACCGCGTCCATCCCATCGGCCTCGGCGTCGAGGCTGAAGGCGCGGCCGAGGGGATCCCGCGAAGGGGAGGGGGGAGGGGGTTTAGGGGGTTCGGAACCCCCGGGGTCGGGCCCGCCGGCGTGGACCGCCGCGTCGCGGAGCATCCCGACCACATCCCCGAGCATCTCAAAGCGATAGTGGGCGAGAAGGTGGGCGTACAGCCGCGCCGTCGCCTCGCGGGCGGGGCGGTCCTCGTAGAGGAACCCCACCACGTGGAGCACCCCCACCATCGACCGCAGGCAGGGCAGTCAGAAGGATCGGG